GGCTCTCCGTACCCTTCAGAAGGGAGTCTCCTACGACTATAACTCTCCTTTTCTTCTTTGCTCCTCTTCAGTCCTTTGAGCTCATGAAGCAAGATGGGGAAAAGTGTGTGCAAACACACACACCAAACAGCAGCACAGCATGGGTCTGGCCTGCCACACTTTTACTTTCAATGCAAAAACATAGCAAGTGACTAAAACCACATCAGAGGTATTTAATTCACGGCTACAGCCGTGAATCCACTGCAAGATCTGCAGTTCAGTGTTTCGGGTTTTTTCTCTACCGTTGCCATGCTTGTAATTTTGTTGTAATTTTGACTGTGATTGGACTGATTAGTTGTCAGTCTTCACCAATTTCTTAAGACAGAGATGATGTTCCTATACCATTACAGCATAACAAGCTGTTACATCAGAGACAAAGTTTTTCCATGCGTGTAGAGATTACTGTCTTAAAAGGAGCGCAGGTCCTTTGGCATTTTGGAGGTGATTTCAAATACTATTCATGTTGTAATGTTCTGGACATGATTGCATTATATAAATGGGAGAAGATAATGTATTGTGAAGAATGGAAGGTACTTTTGTTATCCCCTGTAAGGAAGAAAAAGCAACAAAATAAAAGCAACCATTTCAGAATAATTTCTCTAGTATATAATTGGAGCTGGTGGAAAAATTTAAGTAGTGGATGGGAGGGTTTTTGTTCTTTAATTACAAATCTCACTGTGGAGAAAAAGTCCAGCTAGGAAGGGCATTGATTCCAGGAATATTGGGAAAAATCCTTATGTGTTGCCATACAATCATCAAGTGGCAGTCTGTTTTATTTGTGTTCAGTTATCTGAATTATTGAAGTGGATTCCAAAACACTTGGATAAAACTTTTACCAATGAGTCGTCAGGGCAGAGTCAACTACAGGCGTAGTCATGTATTCTGTTAAATGACAGATTTTCAAACACAGATTTGGGGAGATGAATGTGTAAATCATAATGTCTAGGAAAAAAAAAAATCTCAATTGTGTTTTCAGGTCAAATTAATGCTTTGGGGTTTTTCCCCTCCCTCCCCCCCCCCCCCCCCGAAACGTGTCGTCTTTTGCAGGCAGCTTGCTAGACTTCCTTAAAGAAGGAGAAGGGAAATACTTAAAACTCCCACAGCTGGTCGACATGGCTGCTCAGGTACGTTGTATAAACCAAGACAACAGTATTTTGTGCTTAGAGAAGAGATTTAAAACTCTTAGTTGATACCAGACATCAACTAAGCATAAATATTGAATGCTCTGGCTATTGTTTGCTGTTCTGTCTTACATCTTCTGATGTAGGTTTGTAATTTGTAAAAAGAAATAGTCTAGTTCCCAATTAGGAGATACTGTATAGGCAGACACACTCTAATCAGTGCTGTCACAAGCTCTTGCTGTGCTACACTTCCTGTACTTATACAATGAGAACAGAGCTAAAATGAAGGGGTACAGCTTAGTGTTTGGGAGAAATGTACATAGTCATGAAAAATAATCTTTTAATAAAACTTTATTTTTAAGATTGCTGATGGCATGGCTTACATTGAAAGAATGAACTACATCCACAGGGATCTCCGGGCAGCTAACATTCTTGTAGGAGACAATCTTGTGTGTAAAATAGCAGACTTTGGTTTAGCAAGGTTAATAGAGGACAATGAGTACACTGCAAGACAAGGTAAGACCAATTTATTCACTGAATAAATAAGACCAGTTACCTTCAAATTACTTACAACTATTACATTTAGCAGAATGTATCTGTGTATTCTGTCCGCGTGAATAAAGATTATGCATATAAGGTGCTTTCACAGCTATGTTTACGTGTCCCCCTCACCTAAGTGCAATTTTAGTAAACTTTTTAATGTTCAAAATTATCTGGCGGTTTGCTTATGTTTTCCAAAAACGCTTTTAGTTATTTTTTTCGGGTAAAACTTGCTACAGTTTGCAGAGAGCTGAGATTCCAGAGAGGTTGCTCATCAGATTCTGAAGAGCATCCCACTTTTTTGAAACATACTCAATTAAGAATCCCAGATGTCTTAGCTGCTTCCAAAAATTGTAGCCAGTAGTTGCTGCCCTAGTTTGAAACTGGTTTCCAGTTTGAAATATTAAAATACTAAACCAACTCAAATTTTGTCAACAAAGCAAAATGTAAAAATTTTTTGAGTGCGGTATTCCTTTTAAAAGATTTTGAAGTGTAAGTAAATGATGCATAAGCAAGGGAAAATTGAGTATCTGCCTTTCCAATGTTTGTAGGAGCTAAATTTCCAATTAAATGGACCGCTCCTGAAGCAGCATTGTATGGTCGGTTTACAATCAAGTCGGATGTGTGGTCATTTGGAATTTTACTGACAGAGCTAGTAACAAAGGGGAGAGTGCCATATCCAGGTAAGATGAAAATTTAATAGATTTTTCTTTTCTTTGTTGTATTCTGTGCTTCTGAAGTTAGCTTTTGTACTTTCTGCCGTCATTCAGAGCCCACAGTTGACAAGCACAGACAAAAATTTAGGCGCGTTTCACTAGTTCCTTTGTTAACACAGCTACTTTGTTTTATTTACAGATCAACTGTGATATATTTTTAAAGTGTTTTAAGATAGTAGCATTTGTAAATGTGACTGATAGTTCATTTCAGATTAGTAGGTATCCTTATGTTTTCCTATCTTCCCTGAAATTTCTACTGTTGACATTTTCCCAGCTACAGTGAGGATCGGTAAGAGTGAACCTGCTAGACAGTTTTTGAAACTAAACATATGTAACCTATTTTGTCAGATATTTTGCTGTGACTGGAATTTGGAAGGGAGTTCTGTTAGGTGTAAAATGTCTTTTTCTTGGCCTAATTTCAAATGAAGCGGTCCTTGAATGGAACCTAAGACAGGCAGAAGGTATTTGTGCTTGACTCTCCTTTTTGAAAGGAAAGGCCTAAGGCAGTGGGAAAGTATACAAATGAGAAAGCGTACAAATGGCAGAAGGACCAGGTGTTGAGGAATTAACCAGTGTAATGAAATAATTTTCAGAAAATGTATTTAATGCAAAATGTAAAAAAAAAAAAAATAAAAAAAAATCACTCATCATAAAGCGTGTCCATGAAAGGTTCTGTTATGTTACGTTCACATGTATTGTGGCTGGAGAGACACTTGAAAAGCTTTGGGAAACTGTTCCTTGCATAATATCTTTCAGAGCTAAAATGCTTTCCTTTTAGGGATGGTGAACCGGGAAGTTCTGGAACAAGTGGAACGTGGCTATAGGATGCCTTGCCCACAAGGCTGCCCAGAGTCTCTCCATGAGTTAATGAAACTGTGTTGGAAGAAGGACCCTGATGAGAGACCAACATTTGAATATATACAGTCTTTCTTGGAGGACTACTTTACTGCTACAGAACCACAGTACCAGCCTGGAGACAATTTATAAGCCAACAATCTATATAACGTGCACAAATCTGCCAAATGTAAAGACTTGCAAAGAATTCCTGACGTCTATAAGGAATCAAAGGAAAGAAAATCTTCGCTACTTTGCATGCTCTTAATGGCAAACTGGAATTTCATAATGCAGTTGCACAAAACCACTTTTTAAGTGTTATAATCTAATTTACCAATGACATGTTTTTATTTTTTTTCCTTTTTTCCAACTTATTTTCAGGGTCCAAAGGAAGCTTACTGAAAATACGGGGTAGAAAAATGAGTGTTGGTGTGAACAATAGCGGGAAAAAACAATGTTTCAAATCCTTTATTTCCCCAACATTTGATAATCATTCTACTAAAGAGGGAATTGTCTGGAAATAAAGCGATCTTGGGGTAAGGCATTTTTAAAGCAGAAGAACTTTGTGGGACCAAGCAATTCTATTCCAGTTCCGTAAAACTCCCTGTGTTCAAAATTACGTATGTGTGCCCCCCCAGTCCCCCCTCCCCAGAAAAGATGGTACAACTGTATTTGATATATAGTCTTGATCTTTAAGCTTCCTCTTGCATGGACTTAATTTAGGGTAGGCAGGTTAAAAGAGAAATTGGAACAGTGACTGACAAACTTGATCTAAATGGTAGACCTCAATAGTGAAATTAGAGAGCATAATGCACTGTGTTAATATTTGTGTTAATATAACTGGAAAGTAGCATGAGAGATTTTTCTTTTTTTCTTTCTGCATAGCTAATTAAGAATAATGAAGGTAACTAGAAAATGAGGTAATATTTTATAAAATGGTGTTGATAAAGTATGATGATATTTGAACTTGAAGCTATGTAATACAATCAGCGAGGGGGGGGAGCCTTTAATCTCTTAAGCTCCAATCCAACAGCGAGCTTTTGTATGGGAAGACTACCTAAACAAAGGTCACCAGGAAAGCAAGACTGAAGCTGGTAAATGGCCACTCTTTAGTCCTTTTTCAGAGACAGGTTTGGTACTGTTCTATGTGGCTTATATGCGTTAACAAGGGTGGGTGCCACAAATGCTAGCTGTCACTAGTTCAGGGATTTGATTGCACTTTTACTTTTTCTTGACTATTAAGACACACTTATACGCAGTTGCTCTTCCCATTTCTGCTCTTCCTACAAAATTATTTAACTAAAAAAAAATGAAAGAAAATGTGAACGTTTAAAAAAAATAAAGGGATGAAATATATTTAATATTGTCCAAATATAGTGACATTGAAATTTGCTGGCATTCAGCCCAGCTGACACTACATCTAGATTTATTTTCTTTGGCTACTGACATATCAAGCAATAACATCATGTCTTTTACTCAACAATTTGCATGAGGTTCTTGAATTTCTGATCAAGCTTATGTACTTTAATATTGAAACACTAAACTCTTACTTAGCTACCAGGTTGGAATTCATATTATCATTGTAAAGCTATCCAAGAAATGAATTTCAGAAAAGCTGGTAATATAGTTCTGGTACTAAACTTAACATTCTTCGTGGGTTTACACTACATTGAATTCAACTACCAAACAGATCTTTGTAAGAACAGTGCCATCGTTTTTCATTTTCCCTCATCATCACTCATGACCTGTGTACATCTGTGGTTATCAAATTTTAAAAGGGCTTTATGTAAGAAAACAAAAACAAAACAAAAAACCCACACAAAAATAATAAAAAACCCCCCAAAATACAATGGAATTTTAATTTTTCTAAATATTTTAAAATGAATAACACAATCATATAAGTTTATGTATTGATACAAAAAATGCCAAAACTGACACTGGCATTGTTTGGATTTTTAATTACTGAATGGAACAGTTCATTGTAATAACACTTGTATAGTAAAGGAATAAAACACTAACTTAATGAACGTGTTCATTGTAAATGGTTGTGTATTATAAGACTTCTCCAAAAGAGTTTGTATGTTTATGAAAATTTATTTGTTTCACCTGAAGACCTTGATGTGGTTCTTACCCTAACAGAGTTTAAAATTCACATTCACACTTTTTATATAAATAGTAATAAGTTTAATTATGTAACTAAGTATTTTTATAAAGTATGGCATTGTTGAACTGTTTTGCAGAATTGGTTCAAAATAAATTTCTCCTTGATTGCATCTGCTTATTTGAGGAAAAAGAGGGGGGAGGGGGGAGGAGATGGGAGGGGGACAAAAGCAGAGTAGCTTTCATATAGAGGGGAATAAAACCTTCATGAGTTTTGGGTGTATTTTTATCCTCTATAAACTATTTTAGTGTACTTTCATACAAGATGCTTGGTTCATGGTGCATTAGTGCTGTGGAAAGGGAGACGTTTTCTAGAGCTGTTCAGAAGTCCTTGGCAGGAATGGGATAGAACCACAGTCTGTCTAGACTTAAAGCTAAACCCCCGTGACGGACAGACAGACAGACAGACTTGGGATTCTTGCGAGGGCAAGTCCAACACGGACTCTCAGCTGTCTGCTGCTGCCATGCTGGAGGGCAAATGTGTTTCCTCTCTCTTGCTTTCTCTGGCATTAGGAGCCACCATTTGCTTCTGTGCATTTTTTCAGGGAATTTTATACATTTGTTCTTGCGATAGCTGATGTTTTGTCTCAACTTCATCGAATGTTACCTGTCTCAGTGATCAGTACAACTCGAACCGCAAATCCTGACATGTGTAGACAGTGCCACCGTAGATTAAGGAGCTAGGACTGTTTTGAGTTTTGATAACAACTAATACAGCACTAAAACCATTCTTCTTACAGAACCTACAAACGGCAAAGTTTACTGTATTTTTAGTATTTCCTGTAATGTAATTAATGTTTTACTATTTTTAATGACAACAATAATGTAATTTCTGGTAATCTGTACTCCCTCTGTTGTCCGTCAGAATGTTGTGATACCCATTCCACATGCTAGGCCTGCAGATTGTTTCTGTCATGCCTTGCTTCAAGCTGTAGTATTTTAAGAATATTCTTATACTATTTTTGAGTAAACTTCTGAACTACAATCTTCCTGTTTAGATAAAGTACATCTCTATTGTAGCATAAAGAATTATGAAAAGAACCTTGTGTGTTCTTATCCTTGCAACCACTGAAATGTCATTTCAGTAGGCTTGGCAGTAGCTCTTACCACTGAAAAGCAGCCTTGATTTTTTTTTTTTTAAAAAGAAAGTCTCCGAGAGTTTGCTGATGGGTAGAAACAGCCGGAATGGTATCTGATCCGTAGTCATCCACAATACTGTTTATTCTAAAACATATTATCCACAGCTGGAATAAGTATAAATGAAGGTAAACAACTAAACTTAATGAGCTACCACTTTTATTATTTATTTGGACCTGTTCAATCCACTAAACTTCTCAGTTTTAAGTTTTCTGTGAAGATGCTGTACATGTTTGTATTTGTGCCATCTTTCCCCCAACACACAAGACCGCTTAAGCTACCAGTCGCGTTGGGTTTGAACCAGGAGCACTCACGGTCAGCAGTACATGGCAAACAGGAGATTCAAATTCTCACACCTCGCTAAGGAATTTAAGACTAGGTTTGCATCACTGATTGGGGCACCCACTGTAAGCAGGACTGGGAGGATAACTGCTGAAGTCCAGAATTGTGATTCACATGATGGCTGTGGGCTTGTGCAGTAGGTATTTGGACTGTACTTGTGCAAATGCCTAGAAGTGCAGGTGCCTTCACAGCAGCACATCTTGCACCTACCTCAGCCTGATCCTAATGCAGGAGCAAGACCACTGTTGGCCTTGCAGACGCGGCAGGAGGCTGGGGACCCTCATCATGTGCATCTCTGGCAGGCGCCTTTTCAAGGCAGGGTGGGAAGAGACAGTAGATGGGAAAGGGACGGTTGTATCTAATTTTGGTATCATGGCCTTGAGTGGGAAACCTGGGCTCTGATCTAGAGTCCTGGATTGCTGCTGGATCTTATACAGGTGGTTGCTAGGTGGTTGAGAGTGGGGAGCAGAACCCACTGCAGGACTTCACCTGCAGCCACAGGCTTCAGCATTTGCTCTAGGACCAGGTTCCCTTTTTGCTCCGCGCTCTTCCCTACTGACTCTTAGGGGGGAGAAATGTCAACAGCTTCCCTGCTTCTCCCTTAGCATAGGGGAGGGAAAGGGAGCAAGATGGAAGGCTGGAGGTGAGGGGCTGAAGTACTAAGTTCTGCACTCCTTCACAGGGCAGAGGGAAGCAGGTGTCGTCTGTTCTCCTCTGTGCTGGTTTTGGCTGGGATAGAGTTAATTTTCTTCATAGTGGCTAGTACAGAGCTATGTTTTGGAATTGTGCTGAAAACAGTGTTGATAATATGGAGATGTTTTTGTTACTGCTGAGCAGTGCTTGCACAGAGCCAAGGCCTTTGCTGCTTCTCACCCCACCCCACCAGCGAGCAGGCTGGGGGTGCACAAGGAGTTGGGAGGGGACACAGCTGGGACAGCTGACCCCAGTTGGCCAAAGGGATATTCCATACCATGTGATGTCATGCTCAGCATATAAAACAGGGGGAAGAAGAAGATGGGGCAGGACATTTGGAGTGATGGGTTTGTCTTCCCAAGTAACCATTACGTGGGACGGAGCCCTGCTTTCCTGGGGATGGCTGAACACCTGCCTGCCCATGGGGAGTGGGGAATGAATTCCTGGTTTTGCTTTGCTTGTGTGTGTGGCGTTTGCTTTACCTGTTAAACTGTCTTTATCTCAACCCAAGAGTTTTCTCACCTTCCACTCTTCTGATTCTCTCCTCCATCCTGCCGGGGGGGGAGTGAGTGAGCAGCTGCGTGGGTTTTAGCTGCTGGCTGCAGTTAAACTACAACATCCTCTCTGTTGTGTTTTCAAAAGCAGGTAGAACCATAGCGGAACTGAGGAGCATCTGTTCCCTTGTGCGCAATGGAAATTGAGCAAGGCCACTTGATACTAGTTGGAGAGTCCCAGTGCAAAAAGAACATCACTCTGCTGTCATTTGTAAGAGTGACCCTTGATCAGTTCTTAGTAAAAAAAATTGTACGGAGGTCCTAACCAGGTCCCTGGAACCCAAATTGACAGGGATCGTAGAATGTATCATAGAATCAT